GGGCCTCTTGGAAGCCTCTTGGGCCGTTCTGGGGCGGTTGTTGGGGCCTCTGGGGCCGTCGTCAAGAAAAACCGTATAAGTTATATATATTATATATATATATATATAATATATATATATATATATATATATATATATATGGTGTGTGTATATGTGTGTGCGTGTATTATACATATATATATAATATATTAATATATATATATATATATATATATATACATGCATACATATTCTCATACGCACCTCTCCGAGGGAGTAGAGCTCAGAGGCGATTAATGCGCACGCGTCCGCGATTTTTCTGGGCGTTTCGCTCGGGACATCCTCGAAATTCTGAAAATCGGTGGCACCCCTCACGCAGATCGTGACGTCAGGGTCCAAAAACACATCGGAATTTCAACATTTTAACATAAAAACCTTCAAAAACACATGGTAATTTCAATAATTGTGACCCCGATTCTCAGGGAATGGCGGTTTCGCTTGAAAAATCCTTCCAAAATCGAGCCCCAGACCCCGCCTCGGAGCCTCCTGGGGGCCTCCTGGAACCTCCTGGGGCCTCCTGGGGCTTTCTGAACCTTCTGGCACCCCAGACCCCGCCTCGGAGCCTCCTGGGGGTCTCCTGAAACCTCCTGGGGCCTCCTGGGGCCTCCTGCGGCCTCCTGGAGCCTCTTGGGGCCTCCTGAAGCCTCCTGGGGTCTCCTGGGGCCTCCTGAGGCCGCCTGGGGCTTCCTGGGGCCTCCTGGGGCTTCAGAACTACATGCACACAGAGACACAAATCACGCCCAACACATCACACGCTAGACAAACATAACACACACACACACACACACACACACACACACACACACAACACCTACAACACACAAAAAGCACGCACCACACAAAGCATACATCACACACACACACACACACACACACACACACACACACACACACACGCACAACACTCACAATCCTGGGGCCTCCTGGAGCCTCTTCTGGTATCCAAGTCGGGCCTCCTGAGGCTTCCTGGGGGGTCCTGGTACACACATCGCAAGGTGTGGCAACCCCACTTGCGCTCGAGTGCGACTTCGATGTTGCATTTCACTCCTGCTTCAAACGCCTCTTCAGTTTTTTGTATGAGCCTGGGCACACACGTGCCACTTGTATATATCAAGGAAAATAAATGGCTTCGGCCTCTGGGGGGCCCTCTTGGGACGCCCCTTGGGCGCCTCTTGGGGACCTCTTGGGGGCCTCTTGGGCGGTTTTGGGCGGTCTTGGGCTCTCTTGGAGCGCTCTTGGGCCGTCTTTGGAGGGGAACCAGAAAAACATGCAAAAATCCAAAGGGAAAACCCGAAAATGGCCATCACCAACCCTGCCATCCCCCCTCGCCCCTCCCCTGGACCCCTCCCTCGAGGGCTTCGCCCCAACTCAACGTCATCACTCGTACCGCACTCTTTCCGTTACCTGCACACTAGCGGCGCGACACAAACCACATTCTCAAAGACGAAGAGGAGAGGGCGATAAGAACGGGAGGAACAGGAGGGGGCAAAGTAAGAACCCACAGCTACGGCCCTTTGCGAGGCGCACACACACACACACACACACACACACACACACACGCACTCAAACACGCACATACAAAAACCAAAACATGCGGATGTTGAGTAAGCATCGCGTCCACAATCCAGGTCATAAGCGGCGCAAAATTTCTGCGACTACGCTAGCATATGTCACCGTGGCAAACACAGCGAGGTGCGCAAATGTACCCTCACGATTGCTACTGCGTGCAACCGAGAAACAAGACCGGAGCGGGCACCAGCGCAAAAGCGCGAAGCGATAATGATAGAGCGCCAAGCAAAACTTTAGCCCGGTACGCCCGTTGGCCTGTAAACTGCCATGATGAACACGAAGCAATAGGCCAGCGAAGCAGGAGAGCGGCAAGCGCATCGACGACGAAAACAAATGATGCAGGCCAAGATGCACAGAGACGAAACATCGAACTACAAACCACTCGAGCCTTCTGATCGCCACCTCGCCAGGGGGTGGCAGGGGGCAGAACAACCAAAAACGGGGAAAAATGAAAAATTAGCCTGGCGAAGGACCCAACCATATGCAGTTGAGAGTACCGCAATTGTGAATATCTTCTTCGGTGGCGCTCCCTATGGGGCCACGAGCCGTATGAGGGGTGTGCCGAAATGCGTGGCAGTGTGCACAACACGAACGAAGACGATAGGTCCGAATATGAAAGCTTGAGCGCGCGCGAGTCGGATCGCGAGCGAGTCTGATTATGAATGAATCTGCGCGCGATTGATTCTATTCGCATGAATGCGTGCATGGATACGCCCAGTGTAAATGTATGTATACGACTGTGAACAGTTTGGGTCTGCGTGACTCTCGGTACTCGTGACTCTGAGCGTCGCCTCTGCAGGGGGCTTCCCTGGGAACCCCGACGGCAGCGCCCGCGCGCCGCGACGCCCATGTCGGCACGCCACACACCTGGTGTGCGGGACGCATGCGGACGGCAGCACTGGGGCCTTCGGTGGAGCTCCCTGTGGGGCCACGAAACGTGTGAGGGGTGTGCCGAAATGGGTGTGCGGGACGCATGCGGACGGCAGCCATGGGGCCTTCGGTGGAGCTCCCTATGGGGCCACGAAACGTGTGAGGGGTGTGCCGAAATGGGTGTGCGGGACGCATGCGGACGGCAGCACTGGGGCCTTCGGTGGAGCTCCCTGTGGGGCCACGAAACGTGTGAGGGGTGTGCCGAAATGGGTGTGCGGGACGCATGCGGACGGCAGCCATGGGGCCTTCGGTGGAGCTCCCTATGGGGCCACGAAACGTGTGAGGGGTGTGCCGAAATGGGTGTGCGGGACGCATGCGGACGGCAGCACTGGGGCCTTCGGTGGAGCTCCCTGTGGGGCCACGAAACGTGTGAGGGGTGTGCCGAAATGGGTGTGCGGGACGCATGCGGACGGCAGCCATGGGGCCTTCGGTGGAGCTCCCTATGGGGCCTGTCCGGGGTGTGCGGCTGGAGGGGGCCACGAAACGTGTGAGGGGTGCCGAAATGGGTGTGCGGGACGCATGCGGACGGCAGCACTGGGGCCTTCGGTGGAGCTCCCTGTGGGGCCACGAAACGTGTGAGGGGTGTGCCGAAATGGGTGTGCGGGACGCATGCGGACGGCAGCACTGGGGCCTTCGGTGGAGCTCCCTGTGGGGCCACGAAACGTGTGAGGGGTGTGCCGAAATGGGTGTGCGGGACGCATGCGGACGGCAGCCATGGGGCCTTCGGTGGAGCTCCCTATGGGGCCACGAAACGTGTGAGGGGTGTGCCGAAATGGGTGTGCGGGACGCATGCGGACGGCAGCACTGGGGCCTTCGGTGGAGCTCCCTGTGGGGCCACGAAACGTGTGAGGGGTGTGCCGAAATGGGTGTGCGGGACGCATGCGGACGGCAGCCATGGGGCCTTCGGTGGAGCTCCCTATGGGGCCACGAAACGTGTGAGGGGTGTGCCGAAATGGGTGTGCGGGACGCATGCGGACGGCAGCATTGGGGCCTTCGGTGGAGCTCCCTGTGGGGCCACGAAACGTGTGAGGGGTGTGCCGAAATGGGTGTGCGGGACGCATGCGGACGGCAGCCATGGGGCCTTCGGTGGAGCTCCCTATGGGGCCACGAAACGTGTGAGGGTGTGCCGAAATCGGGACGCATGGGGCGTGCCCCTGTGGGGAACGAAACGTGTGAGGGGTGTGCCGAAATGGGTGTGCGGGACGCATGCGGACGGCAGCCATGGGGCCTTCGGTGGAGCTCCCTATGGGGCCACGAAACGTGTGAGGGGTGTGCCGAAATGGGTGTGCGGGACGCATGCGGACGGCAGCACTGGGGCCTTCGGTGGAGCTCCCTGTGGGGCCACGAAACGTGTGAGGGGTGTGCCGAAATGGGTGTGCGGGACGCATGCGGACGGCAGCCATGGGGCCTTCGGTGGAGCTCCCTATGGGGCCACGAAACGTGTGAGGGGTGTGCCGAAATGGGTGTAGGGGACGCATGCGGGCGGCAGCCCTCGGGCCTTCGGTGGAGCTCCCTATGGGGCCACGAAACGTGTGAGGGGTGTGCCGAAGTGGGTGATGACGATGACGATGACGACGATGACAATGACGATGATGATGATGATGATGATGATGATGATGATGATGATGATGATGATGATGATGGGAGGAGGGAGGAGGGGGAGGAGAGAGGAGGAGGAGGAGGTGGGACGCGGGGCGCTGTCTTTTCAAAACGAGGACCCAACACCACAGGATGGTTGGGAACAACAACAGCAGCAGCAGCAACAACAACAACAACAACAACAAGAACAAGAACAACAACAACAACAACAACAACAACAACAACAACAACAACAACAACAACAACAACAACGACGACAACGACAACGACAACGACAACGACAACGACAACGACAACGACAACGACAACGACAACGACAACGACAACAACAACAACAACAACAACAACAACAACCACAACCATCTTAAGACTCTTCGTTCTTACTTGGCCGCGAGTCCTTCAAAACGTATACCCTACGCCCTCGATACCTGCCCTCTACGTCTTCGATCACACCCCTCTTGGTAGGATTATTTATCTTTGCGGGGGCTGGCGGGCTTAGAGGAGCGACACGCCGGACCCCTGACGCCCGCGGACTGCGCCAGGCTCCGGCGCGGAGGGGGGCAGGATGGAACGGCGGAGAGGAGGCGAGGTCCCTGGGCGCGGCGAGCCCGCACAGCCGCTTGGAACTGCTCGAGCGTCACGGCGCCCCCTTGGCGGTCGTTGCGGAGAGCATTACCGTGAAGCGCGAAGCCCAGCATGGCGCGGCGGTGCGACGACGCCACGTGGGAGCTCCCCCCTCCGCTGAAGAGAAACTGGGTAGCCCTGACAACATTGACCTGGACGGGGTTGATGTACTCCCAGACGATCTTCGCATTCACATTGAGGTCATCGACGCCCACTCTCCGCGGCCGCCACCACGGCGCTCCGGAGCTGGTCGATCCCGTCTTTGCGGTGCTCCTTTTTCGGCGCCAGGATCTTCTTTATCGCCGGAAGGACCTTGTCGATCTCCTCGTACAGCAGGCGCGCGATGTCTGTTTTCATGCACGCCTCCACCTGCACCCGCTCGCCCTTGAGGTACCCGAGGAAACTGCACCCGGCTCTGCAGCCAGCGCTTCACGTCGACCCTGCGCCTTTCATCATGCTCGCTGGCCAACTCTGTGGCGTAGACAGCACCCGTCTTTTGCTTCACGTTGCACAAACCCCAGAGTTCGCGGGCGGGCATCACGTCGAATTTCCCACGGCCGCATGCGTTCAGGAAAGACTTCGGGATCGTCTCCCAACTCTTCAGGCACGTGCGCGGCACAGGGGGCTTCTTCCCGTCGTCGCCAGAATTCGCCTTGCGGGCAAACACATGTTGACACGGCATGTTGCTGCGCCAAGGCACAGTATAGCGAGAGAGGACGCAAGACAGGGAAGGATACACGGACACAAGAACGCACGCAGGCCACGCTTGCCAGCCAATCGCAGGATACGAAAACGCATGGGGGCCAACCTCGACTGAATCTGGCGCGCGCAAGGCTGCGATTGGGCAGCAGCAGCAGCAGCGGCATGATCACATAGAGACGCAAGCATCAATGAGCAGGCCGCGCCTGCCGCTCGAGGTTGGCGAAGGTTGCCATGCCCGAGGAGTCCGCCATGGCAAAAGCAGGCGCGTGCTCTCGGAGACAACAAGCAGAAAGCCACAAAAGAGCCACGTACCTGAAACGGCGATCGAACGGTGGAGATACGATAAAAGTGCACGGGTGCGCCAGCCGGGGCAATCTGTCATAGCAGGAAGCAAACGGACAGCCCCGAAATGGATATCCAGTGCGAGTCTCTGCCGCCCAATGTTGCTCTATGCCGCAATCCAGAGACGGCATGCTATTTCTGGAATGATGTTTTGTTTTAACATCCACGACGCCACCATGCGATGTGAATGACCTGCGAGCATTCGGGCGCGCAAAGTCCATGGTAGGACCCCCCCCTGCGGTTGCGTCGTCGGCCGCCTGTCCATCAGCTTCGTAGCCTCCCCCATTGGATGCCTGGTTGGCTGCGTCCTTTGCTGCCTGGTCAAGTGCCTCCTTGGCTGCCTTGTTGGCTGCGCTGTCGGGAGACTCGTCCGCTGCCTGCTCGGCTGCCTTCTTGGCTAATTCGTCAGTTGCCTGGTTGGCCGCCTTGCGAGCTGCCTCGTGGGGCCCCTGGTTGCCTGTCTCGCTGGCTGCCTGGTCGACAACCGCGGTGGCCGCATCGTCTGCTGCCTCGTTAGCTGCCTTGTAAGATTCCTTGTTGGCTGACATCGCGGCCTGGTTGCGAGGCATCCGTGGAATTGACGCGGCAAGGTCCACTCCGAGCACGCCCGGGCATGCAGGACGGGAGTTGGAAGCGCGAGATCCCTTTTCGCCCACCTCTTCAACGTTGAAACGGCCAGCGGGGCCGGGAGGCCCGCTACAGATCGACCCGGAACTAAGAGGCCGCCCCCAAAGTGGGGCTCCAAAGTTGAGACGTAGACCCCCCACCCCCCCCCCTCTTCAACGCTGCTGCGCTGCGCTGTCCTCTGCGGGGCCGCGCAACGCCATTATTGCGAAGGGTGTCCGGGCAGGGCCCTCAGAGAAGCTCGCCAGGGGGGCCCTCCTGAAAGCTCAATCGACGCGCTGCGGCGGCCAGCGTTCAGAGGGGGGCGCCGGGCGGGGAGGGGGGCCTCGCCGAATAGCAATACTCTTGTCTGCTGGGCATTCGCATAAAGTAATCTCCCCAAGGGAGGTGGAGGGGAGGGGTGAGGGCGAGGGCAAGGAAGGCACATGGGAAGTGGGAAGGAGAGGGTTGGAATGCCAGGGGGCGGCAAGGAGAGGAGACAAGTGGATGGAGGAGGAGCGGGGCAGATTTGTTGTTCCATGCGCCGTGCGTGCTGATGAAAAGCGCAGTGCTTGGCAGCGGCAGATGACGGCGCCACGGCCGCCGGCGGCAACGGCCACGGAAACGACGGCGACAGAGAGACCGCGCTGCATCGATGAGTACGCGACGAGCGCGCCCACAGAAAACTAATGAACATCATCAGAAGGATGCTCTTCTGGACGTAAGTCGCCAAGAAGCTGGCCGCCAGGCAGTGCATCTGAATGCAGATCGTGTTTCAACTGCTGGTCATCCTCCGACTCGCCGGGCGAACTGTCTGAACAACCGAGCAAGTATGCCACTTCAGTGGCGCATTGCTCAGAGCACTCAGAGCGGCCGCAGGAGCTGGCAGAACATCCGATGAAGTGCTCTATTTCACTGGCATGCTGGTCAAAGCTCGCCGCAGAGCGGTCCGAAGAAGGAGCGGCCATGGACGTGTCCGACCAGTCTCCGTGGACCTCGCCATCAGAAGGTAGGCTGGCATCGTTGGAACCACACGGAGGGTCTGAGTCGGAGTCTGGGTAGCCCCCATGCGCCACATGTCCGGGTTCGTAAATGGAGTCGTCAGAGTCCGTGTCCTGGGACGCAACGCCGCGCGCCACCTGCTCCTGCCTGCCTGGCCCCCGACAGGCAGGAAGTCAGATCTCGGGAGCTTACCGAACAAGAATAAGCCGGTCATGTGGCGGAAGCGGGAGACCCCGACGCATGCGCAACCACGCACAGCTGCGAACCGTTTCTGGTCAAACCAAATGACCCCAGGGTCGATGCTAGCGCCCTGCGCTTTGCGGATCGTGGTGGCATAACCGTAACAACACGGCAAGAACCACTGCTTATTCTCGTACATTGGGTGCACGAGAATCATGTTGCCAGTTCCGCGCGCGCGAGCAACCAATACAGCACTGCCACCCAAACTTTCCACCACACTGCGATCGCCCCGCTGACAAAGCCGCGGGTTTTATCGAGATTACGCGCGAGGCGAATGACGAGACATCTTTTGGCGAGGATGGAACGGAGCACTTGCTTGCTGGATCCGCCCGGAAGCCCGTTCGCAAATCATCGTCTGCGACACCTTTGCGCCGCAAGGCCGCTTGCGCAACTGCCTGGGCGCCAACATTGGCGCATGTAAGCCAAGTCATCGAAGGGCCACCTTGTTTCTCGAACTCCAGAGTGCACCCGACGGTCTGCTCCAGCGTGCCCCGGAAATGCCTGCGATGGAAATAATCCTGGGGCGTGTCCATTGTCGGCTGAGTCTCTCTGATGTGGCTCAAGAAAGCAAGTGCTCGGGGTTCTGCGACCTGCACACCGTGTCTAAGGTGACCGCGGGGCAGCAGCGACACAATCGCTGGCAAAAGCTTGGCTCGTGGGCATCAGTGACCCTCCCCCCCATGCGGACTGGCGTGAGCTGCTGGAAATCCGCCACGATGACGCAGAATGGCGAGTGCGGCCGCTCGCACAGGGACTTGAAGAAGCGCTCGAACTCCGCGTCCGTGCACTGGCTTCCTTCGTCCACGAGTATGAGGTCGATTTTCCGCAACGCAAAAGGCGGCGACCACAGAACTTTGCCATCCTTGTCAGGCCGTTTGTACTTAAGAACGCCGTGGATAGTGTCCACGCGAATGTTTTCGACGCGGTCCGCCTCCGGCAGCTGGGATTTGAAGCTGCGCACGAGCTGCCCAGTCGGACACACGATCGCCACGCCCAGACAGCGGCCACCGGCTGCCAGAGCCGATTCCAGGAGGACTGCTGACTTACCGCTACCAGGGGCCCCCGCGACATTCAGGAATCTCCCAGGACGGCCGTCCTTCTCCGTCTCCATCTGGTCCTCGATGCCCGTTTTCTGCTCTACGATCTCGAGGACGTCCGCCTGCTGCTTGGACAAGACCTTGCGCGGCGGGCGACGGACCCTCTCCCATTCTTCTTTGAGCTTCGTGACCTCGGCGTGGTCGCCAGCGCACTGGAGGGCGCGGCGACGCAGCAAGAACTCTGCCTGCGCGTGCATAACGAACGTCTTTACACGATCCTCACGGAACCCACGGTAAAAGAGATCCCGACTGCATGTGTCCGCCATCCATTGAAAGGCGCGCTTGTCCGTCGGGACAACACACGGCGCCGAGCTCAAGTCTGCGTCGGGCGCAGGCCGAGTACCAATGGATTCACCGATGAACACAAGAGCACCGCAGTCCTGAAAATCCAATGGCAGCGCGGACTCGCGGAACTTGAACTCGCCTGAACGATGATGATGATGATGATGATGAAGCGCCTTGAAAGGTCGGTCCTCCCATAACACAAACCTGAGAAGCCACCAATACGCCAAATGCGTAAGGTAGAGAGAGAAAGAAGGCGAAGAAGCAGGAAAGAATAGAAGCGGAGAATCGGTAAAGCCCAACCCAGGATTGAAACCCAGGATACTGAAAGAAAACATAAATGAAAGACTGTCCAAGATCCCAAATAAATCCCACCACTAGGTTCCTCTTGTGTTGAATGAAGATAGAGAAACAGAAGAAAAGGGATGCCCAAATTTGACTAACAAGATCTTGAGTGACAATTGGGTCCCAACTTTGAAAGCGCATGGTCCCAAGGTCTAAAGTAAGAGGTGAAGAAAACTTTCATTAAGTCCCATGAAACCCATTTAACATGAGTAGTGATCAAGGCTGATATATATGACTAAAAGAGAATCTGAATGATAAACTGAACGACCCAAGCACGCAATGAAACCAGAAGATACGGAGGCACGCAAGATGAACGGTCAAAGCTGAATGAGATCCCAACCATGAGAACCCACGCCAGACCTGTCGAGGAATATGTAATATGGATGAATTCAAACTAATATGGAGAACGCAAGGTGGCTGGAATTGTTTATAACCTTTTGTATTTGCAAACCACCATCGTAGGCGAGCCGCCGACGTTTGAACTGAAATGTCTGAGGACCCTATCCCCAGGACATAAGAAATACATGCAAGAAAGACTGAGAAAGACTGAGAGCCCTCCAAGAAGCCGCAGGCCCACGCACCACGGACACCAGAAGATTCCAGTCTAAGGAAGTCCCAGGAGTGCTCTTCAGCCATACCTCCACCGCCACTTCTCCACGAAGAAATCTCCATCCCACCAGTAATCGGACAAGTACCACACAACCGGGTGAGGCCAGCCCGAATCGGGATCGATCCACGTGTCAAAGTACTCCGTTTTCCACACTTTCGTGTAGACTTCGTCTACTTCGCAGTAGTTCCACATTCCGCCCGAGCCATGGGACCACTTGAGACGCTTCTTGGCAGCAAGCATGACTGGAAGGCAGCGTTTAGCCATCCACTGGAGTTGAAAGTTTCCCAGCCGTACCAGACAGGAGCTCCAGAAAGGATTTGAGGCAAAACGGCTACTGACCCGCAACAAATTCTGTCCAAGGAACTCTACGAACCCTCTCATCGGGACCCCGAACGTTGACATACAGACCATGATAGCCGCTGTCCCGGCAAGCTTTGAAGTATGGGATTTTGCACCAGTCATATGTGAAATGAGGACCACCAAGGCCCGTCGGTAGCAGGGTGGTCGTCGCGATCGTATCTGCAAAACCGCCAGGTCCAGAGGCACGCCAGGAAGCCGAAGAAATTCTTCATGTTCTCTAGGTGCGGCTGGTCTGGGGGTGGCAAAAAGTCGCGCGGCGATCTGTGAGGGATCTGCGTAAGAGACATCTGCCCCCAATACCCATCTGTGAGTTCGTACCAATACCGGCACGCGCAGACCATGGCGGGGGTCCTGCCGCATGAGATGTCATTGCCTTTGCGGCCTTCTGCCCTGTTGCCATTGCGATCCCACTTGTAGTGGCGATGCCACTGCAAGAAGGACTGGTGCGTTTGAGTTGACATGTTCCCGCACTTCACTGTGGTAGGACTTGTACATGCTCCAACTAAAACTGCCACCATGGTCGCCGAGGCATGCGTCTCCCTGCGCGTCGAACGCCGCGGCGGGGGCGTCGGGCCGCGGCGGAAATAGCAGCTCGCGCGAATTAGACCGGTCGAACTCGGGGCACTGGGCAAGACGAGTGGCGCACTCTGGTATGGACGGCGTCATCATGCTGACAAGACCAAAAGTCGCCAGCCAAGGCGCTGTGTTTTTGGTCTGCACGTACTCGCCCAAACCCACGTCGACGGCGTGGTGCCCCTTCGTGCAGTAGCCGTTGATGTAGTTGAGCCGGCCGTTGCCCACCTGCACATCGACCTCGCACATGAAAAGAACGCCCAGGAACTTGACGGAGCCCACGGCGGCAGCCAAAGCTTGGCCGCTCACGCCCACTCGCCCCGTGAGCGAAGCAAGGGACACGCCCGCGGCAGTCAACACCCACGCGCAAATGTGCCAATGCGGCGCGCCTCTACTCTGGCATTCCGTTCGGACTGCATACTCCATGACCCGGAACCAGCGATGGCCGAGGTGGTTGCAGAGGAAAGCCCAGATAGACAGCACCAGCAAGTACATGTGAATGCCGATGCAATAGGCGCCGCTGACCAAGTGCTCTCGATACGGCCGCAACCAACACGGCAGTGGGAACATCCATTCGGCCGGGGCAACCGCAATGAACAGATTTGGGAAAGCCGCCATCCATTACTCGTCACCGGCAGCGCCCCTGCAGTGATCGTGGATTTCCTTGTGGCCTTGCTCGTCGCGGCACTTCCACATCTGAACGCGCACGAGATCAGAGAGCGAGTCGCGGACAATATCACGGTAGCCAGTGCTCGTCGGAGAAGTCCGCATCATAACGTCGGCGGGGACGTTCCTCTGCTGTGCAAGGGAGTGCGCTGCGAAGAACTTGCTGGCCATTTGCACCTCGAACATGAAGAGGGCGAGATCTGGATCCTCGGCGCATGCGCGAACCTCGCTCAAAGCCTTGCCGTTGAACGAATACCCGCTGGAAATTGTGCGATTCTGCTTATCATCGTGGAACTCAGCGATCAGCCGGGATACGCTGGCGTCCGTGAAGTCCGAAGCGGGGTAGAGCCAGGGCCAAGCCGCGCACTCGACGCCCTTGAATGTCACGAAGAAGTCGAATGTGCGGATGTGCTGGCCGTGCTGATCCGGATTCGTGCGCGCGCGGTTGGACGCATTCAAGAAGGCCTCGTAAAAGCCATTGTTTTTGACCAAGCAGCGAAAAGCCGCCTTGCAACGAGCTGTGGGAAGGCTACGCTCGTCAACGATGTGAGGTGCGTAGAAGCCTTTGCTGACGCCGGTCTTCTTCCAGTTCTTGTAATGGCTCGGAATGTTGAGGTTGGCGCTGAACATATCTCGTTTCTTCTGCACGTGGATGACGATGACACGTAAGGCCGTTTTCTCGCCATGTGGAAAAAAATCCAGGAACGTGCATCCCTCGGCGGCCGACATGGAGAACTCGCTCGCTCCGGGCGCGAGCCGAGGCCACGACGCCACTTCGCCGGCCCAGGTCGACGGCATGCTTTGGCCCACTGGCGGTAGACGAGGAACTCGATACAACTGCTGCGTGCACAAGACCGGTTCTATCTTATCGGCCCCGAAAGCAGCGGCAGCCGCCGCCGCCTTGGCCTTGCCTGCAGGGCTGGCCCTAGCGGCGGCCTTGGCTCGAGCCTTGGCTCGGAGGATGCCAGCGGCCATCTCTCCCGGATGAGCGATGGGTCTGGGGTGCTCTGCCGCTGGCGTGCACTTGCCACACGCGTGCTCCACGGAGGCCGAGGGCTCGTACATGGTTGGGCTCACCCACCAGTACGACGTCGGTCCGAGCTCTGCGCGGCCGGAGTGCTTGACTGGGTCGGACGGGATCCCCCGACGGGAATGCAGCACTCCTGACGCCGGGACCTGAGCAGATGCGCCGTTGCACAGACTCTTGAACCCTTCATCGACGAAAGAAAAGCACCCGCAGCAAGGGCAGCGCTGCCAACTGCCGCAGCATGCCCATATGGCGAAATCCGTGTCTGGCAGGCGCCGGCGAAATTCACGACGTTGCGTGCCAACGCTGGAACCGGCCCACGTCTGGCACGCATGCAAGTCCTCGCAGATACTCGCGGCGTAAGCCACGGTCGTATTCCCAACCGCGCTGTTCACAGGGAAACAGAGCATCTTGTCGGCGGCAGCAACCTCCGCACAACACTGCAAAACCTTCTCGTGCACCCCGTCTGCGTTGGTGTAACTGAGGAGTCTGCCAGCGGACTCGGGGAGGTGCTCGCCGCGCTGCACGCGGCGAATGTCCCTGCGGAAAGCGTCAACCGAGTTGATATGCAAACACTAGTTATATATGATGACGTCCGGGTACTTGAACCGCAACTGCGCGTGCTGCTCGTGCTTGTTGAAAAACTTGCGGAACTCCGGCATTGGCGCCACGCCGATCGAAAGCTCGGCGCGGTCGCAGAGCCGCTGGTGCAGAAGAGACAGTTCTGGCCAGGGGCCAACCTCCATTCGCATGCCGCCAACGCCGCCCCTATTGGGGCGCCCGAAAAAAGAACCCTCAGCAATCAGCTCATAGAGCCAGCGCCACCACTGCCGCTCGATCCACGGCGCGGTGCGGGGGTTGCCGGCCTGCTCCTTGCACCTGCGGTAGGCCCGGAGCGTCTGGGCGCTCGCGACGACGAGGTACTCCCGGCGAACACTGTGAACAACGCGCTCAACGGGCACTCCTGTCTGCATCTGGTCCAAAACGTAATTCGCGCACCCGTGACTCTCGATATCCTGGACGCTCTGCAGGGACGTCAACCTCTGCGCGGGGTGGCCCAGCCACTGCTGCAAATCGTAGGGCCGCATGGCGACGTGGAACTCCCTCTTGAGGTCTTTGCTGATGTCGTAACCCGACATGTTGTCGCACGTGCACTTGCGCACGATCAGCTCGCGGTGGGCCTTCCAGAAAGCCGCCCCGACGCGAACGGCATGCGCCGCACCGTGATGATCATACCAAATCTGACGGATAACGACGACAAGCGGTCACATTTCATGCATTCTCGAAACAACCCGGGCCCCAGGGACACCGAAGGTGCCACGCAGCTTTGAACGCGGGGCCCCATCGGGGTGGCAAGACTGGCGACGGGCATCGAATAAATGTAATAAACTTTCAAGATGGGGCAGAACGCTCGGCGTCGGTATCCGGTGCCAGATACGTGGTCTTGCTCACGCCGTGCCCTTCACTCTGAACAATCCGAACTCCTTCTGCCTGGCCGTGACCAAAAACATACTTCAGATGACGATGGCGCAAAGCCTGCCCCAGGTCTCGCTCGACATCCTCGAAGGTCTGCTGCAGGGGCAGCGGGCCCTTGGGCTTCTGACGAAGTCGGCGACTGTTCAAAGTCCTCGGCGCGCTGCGGGCCCGGGCCAACGACTTGAGGGCGTCTGGAAGATTCTCGAGCCACGTGCAGCAGACATTGCGCGAGGCACGAATCGGCTGCCAACGAGAAGCGAGATGCTGGACCAGTGGTCTCGCACGATCCAATGCGTAATGAACTCGGTCCTCGCCCAACAAGGCATCCAAAGTATGCGCGTTGTCGGCTTCGAGCGTCTTCCCGGCCGGGCACGGATAAAAGGTCCCGCACCACGCAGCGAGCACGTCCACCATGCACCTGATGGGAGGGTCGAGGCCCTTGAGATGCTCGACAAGACGGCCCTTGGATTCTTCGGACTCGAAAAGCTGAGGATAATCAATGGAACGTAAGACGTCTCCAATAGCCAACTCCAATGCCTCGCCTGACTCAACAGCCCCTTCGGGAGAGAAGTCCGCGTTGAGCCAATGCTTGATTATCCTGATTGGGCAGGCGATTTGCTGATCAGTAAGCCATTGCTTTATATTGTCGGCATCTCCCGCCGCTGTCTCCTCGGCGAGGTACTCACGCAGACGTTGACCCACGCGCTGTTCCAAATCCTGCGCCGACGAAGACCAGGATGGCGCGCCACCGCCATGATGCGGAAACAACTCCCTCATGACGGCATCGGTCGTGTTGAATCCGGCCTGGCTCCGGAGTTCCCGGACAAGCTTGAAACTGCTGTGCCGCCCCTCGCTCTGGAACTGCCGGAGCTTCTCTCCGGCACGGGCCTCCAGCGCTACATACCCCTGGATTGTTTCGAGATCCGCAGCGGCACGGTGCTTGTTGAACCAAGTACGGAAGACCCCTTCCGTGACGGACACGTCAGGGCACGTGCGTTCCCACTGGCGCAAGATCTGCCGAGGGGTCGTCTTGTCAGAAAAAGGTGCAGCACGCAATTCGTGGCCATACTCGTGCTCCACCTGCCGCGCGTTGATCCGGGCCTCCTGCTGCTGCGGCATCGGGGCAGAGAGGCTACAGAATGGCGCTGACCGGTACCGAGAAGAAGCCTGCCTTGAGCCAAGACGGCAACTGTGTTGTGAGCAGGAAGAAATGGGGGCGAGCACGAGGAGGAATGGTGACGCAGATGAGTGCGATGGCAAGCAACACGAAGGAAGAGGCAGCAGCAGGAAGAAGCAGGCGGAAACCCGAGCCTCGTGTAACATAAGATATTCGAAGCGGGAGTGCGCTGGAATTAAGACGATCGACTGTATTGTGTCGCTGGAGACCTAGATCCTCGTGCAAGAAATGATACCCCTGACCTACCCGGGACTGAATTCAGTAAATCTTTCCAAGCGCGCACCCGTCTGGTGGAACAGAAACGCCCCAAGAAGCACAGAAAGGTAGGGTGAGAAGTGAGTCAAGGGAGGAGAAGGGGGATGAAGGAAGGAGAGGGGGGGGAGTAGTGAAAAACCAACAAAAGTAGTGATGGAATGACGAACACGCCAACGGAGTCTACCTTGGGGGTCGCAACCCGACAGGACCGGAATTCTTAGCGCACCTCCTAAAAGGGCCTCCGGGCAAATACAATCTCCTGTGCGGGTTCCAGGTTGAACTCTCGTCGAGCAGCAGGAGGGGAGATGGAAAAGGGGAATAAGGAAGAAGAGATGGGGGAGTACGGAGTGGGATGACTACGAGAACCCAGGTTCTGCCTCTCCCGTGCGGGTTCCAAGTTGCTCTCTCGGCGAGCAGCAGGAGGGGAGATGGAAGAGGGGGGGGGAAGAGCAAGAAGAGATGGGGGAGTACGGAATGGGAGGAGTACGATAACCCAGGCGAGAGCGCCATCCCTGAGTAAATCGTGAAGAAGTCTCTGGAGGGAACGGGGGTCCTGACCAATTTCTGAGGAAGTCTTAAGCCAGAACGAATGCCTTCAATAAACTGCGAGGACGTCTCAGGCGTGAGCGGGGGCCCTGACTAAAAAGCGGAGGCAAACATCTCCAGCGGGACCGGGGCCCTAATTAGATTCTACAGAAGTCTTAAATTGGAGCGCCAATCCAGAATAAAAAATGAGACCAGGCGGCAGGGGGGGGGTCTTGCCTACATTGCGAAGGAAGTCTCAGGCGGGAGCCGTTGTTGTTGTAGCCGGGGGGGGGCAACAAGCCAGTTTGAGCAGCAAGCCATTCCCTGCCCGGACCCTCTGGGGGAGCTACCCCAGCAAGAGAAAGCGACCGCAGCCGTCCGAGGCGGCCCATGGGGTCGCAGGCCCCAGCCCCGCCCGGGGCGCCGCCGGGGCCCCGACCACATGGGGGGGGGGGCCCCGGTCCCACAGGGAAGAAAAACGACGACGACGACGACGACGACGACGACGACGACGACGACGACGACGACGACGACGACGCGAGCGGTGGCACCGAGGAGCACAAGGTTATGTAAGAGCAAAGGAAGACGGCCTAGGAGGGAGAGGAGAAGGCCAGGGGAAGGAGGGGAGATCGAGGAGGGAAAGGGCTGGAGGGAGGAGGAGCGGAGGGATGGACGGGGGATAGAGCAGCCGGGCGGGGGCCCAGCATCAGCGGGAGAGGGCGGAGAAGCACCAGAAACGCTGCACTGCGAAAATCGCAGCCCAGATCGCAGCCCAGATCGCAATCCGGCCGAAAGAATACGCAGCCGACTCTGACATCTGACGTCGCAAGTCTGTTTCCGGCGAAACCCCTAAAATGTCTGGGCGCCTGAACCGCGAAGGCGCCATTCCTCAAGGAAGTCTCGGGCGGGGACGGGGGTCCCGAAAAAATTCTGCGAAGTCTCAGGCGGGAGCCCACGGTGGGCGGGCGGACCCTGACAGGCGAGCGGGCGGGCGGGATATTGAATAAATTTCGACAAATCGTAAGCGAGAGCGCCATTCCTGAGTAAAATTGGAAAAATCTCAAGCGGGAGCGAAAGCCAGAACCAGAACCAGAACCAGAGCCAGAGCCAGAGCCAGAACCAGAGCGAAAGCCAGAACGCGAGCCAGAACAAGAACCAGAGCCAGAGCCAGAGCCAGAACCAAAACCAGAGCGAGAGCCAGAGCCAGAACCAGAACGAGAACCAGAGCCAAAACCAGAACCAGAGCGAGAACCTGAGCGATAGCCAGAACCAGAACCAGAACCACAGCCAGAACCAGAACCAGAACCAAGGCCAGAGCCAGAGCAAGAGCCAGAGCCAAAGCCAGAGCCAGAGCCAAATCAAGAAACAGAACCAGAACCAAAACAAGAACCAGAACCAAAGGCCAGAGCCAGAGCCAGAACCAGAACCAGAGCCAGAACCAGAACCAGAACCAGAGCCAAAAACCAGCACCACAACCAGAACCAGGCCAGATCCAGAGCCAGAGCCAGATCCAAAGCCAGAGCCACAACCAGAACCAGAGCCACAGCCAGAACCAGAGCCAAAGCCAGAGCCAGAACCAGAGCGAGAGCCAGAGCCAGAGCCAGAGCCAGAACCAAAACCAAAGCCAGAGCCAGAACCAGAGCGAGAGCGAGAGCCAGAACCAGAACGAGAACCAGAGCCAGAGCCAGAGCCACGGCCAGAGCCAGAGGCAAAGCCAGAACCAGAACCAGAACCAGAACCAGAGCTAGAGCCAGAGCCAGAACCAGAGCCAGAGCCAGAACCAGAAACATAACCAGATCTGGAGCCAGAGCCAGAACCAGAGCCAGAGCCAGAGCCAGAGCCAGAGCCAGAGCCAGAGCCAGAATCAGAACCAGAGCCAGAGCCAGAGCCAGAGCCAGAACCAGAGCCAGAGCCAGAGCAAGAGCCAGAACCAGAAACATAACCAGAACTGGAGCCAGAGCCAGAACCAGAGCCAGAGCCAGAGCCAGAACCAGAGCGAGAGCCAGAACCAAAACCAAAACCAGAACCAGAACCAAAACCACAACCAGAGCCAGAGCTAGAGCCAGAGCCAGAGCCGGAACCAGACGAGAGGCAGACCCTACAAGAGCCAAAGCCAGAGCCAGAGGCAGAGCCATGACCACTGGGCGCCGGCGGTAAACCGTCCACCTTGGTTACCGCCGGGGGACTCGTAGAGCTTCCTTACCCATCTCTAAAGAATAAGCATAAGCAGAGTACAAATAGTTCTTCAGCCCGAGCGCTAATAGCAGACTGATTGCAGCCATCTAGATACATTCAACTAGCGCCTCTGATGATTTCCTTCCGATTGCTGTGCCGAAAAGCCATGTAGCTCAACTGCAGCGCGAGAGACCAAGAAAACCAATACCGTTCCCCAAGGAATTAGCAGAGTACGAATAGTTGTTCAGCCCGAGCGCTCATAGAAGACGGATTTCAAGGGTCTAGACACTACTAAATAGCGCGCCTCACGATTGTCTTCTGATTGCTCTGCCTAAGAGCTCGGGAGCTTATCGCAGCTCGAGCTCAGTCAGAAAACCATTCCATCACCAGGAAATATAATATGAATAGTTGTTCGGCTTCTGTGCTGAGAACAGACCGAATACTGCAGACTAGCCTGTCTGATAATTCCCTCCCGATTTCTGTGCCAAAGAGCTCTGGAGCTTAGATGCAGCTCGACTTTAGTGAAGGAACTCACCATCATCTCGAAAAAATCGGTAGAGTACGACTAGTTTCGCAAACCCAGCTCGAATAGCAGACCGAGTTCGGACCTCTAGATGCTTCAGACGAACGCGCCTGATGATTCGGAATCGAGTACATGCGTATCAGCTCTGCAGCTCTCCTACAGCTCGAGTTAAGTACAGAAAAACCATCAACAGCTGTCCAGAAAAATCGCACAATACGAATAGCTTCGCGGACCTAGCTCGAGTAGTGGGCCGATTTCAGACCTCTAGATGCTTCAGACGAAAGCGCATGATGTTTCTGAAACGATTACGTGGGCGTACAAGCTATGTAGCTCTCCAAGAGCTCGCGTTAATTACAGAAAACAGATAGCACCTGTCAACAAATTCCGTGAATACGAATAGTTTCGCGGACCTTGCTCGATTAGTGGACCGAGTTCAGACATCTAGACGCTTGAGACGAACGCGTGTGAAATTTCTAAATCGATTACGTGGGCGCATCAGCCCTGTAGCTATCCTACAGCTCGAGTTAAGTACCGAAAATCGACAGCATCTGTCAAGAGAACTGGTATAATACGGTCAGCTTCGCGGACCTAGCTCGACCAGCAGATTGAATTGAAACCTCTAGATGATTCAGATGAACGCGCCTGATGATTCTGAATCGGTCACTGTAAGTACCAGCTCTGCTCCCCTACAGCTCGAGTAAAGTACAGAAAACCGACAGCACAGGTCAAGATGATTCGAAACAGCCGATCCCGCCCGGACGCTTTTCGACAGTAATAGGTACCCGGTCGAGCTGAGATTGAGACGGCGAGCGGGAATAAGATCGAATATCACGGGAAATAATACTAGAACTCTAACGAATTGTTGAATTTCGAGAACATAACTGGACGCCGGCGGTAAACCGTCAACCTTGGTTACCGCCGGGGGACTCGTAGAGTTTCCTTGCCATACACCATCTCCAAAGAATCCCGAGCGCTGACAGCAGGCTGATTGCAGCCGTCTAGATACTTTGCACTAGAGTCTCTAATGATTCCCTTCCGATTGCTGTGCTGAACAGCTCTGTAGCTCATCTGCAGCGCGAGTTATACCAAGAAAACATATACCATCTCCAAGAAATTAAGAGATACGAATAGTGGTTCAGCCCGAGCGCTGATAGAAGACTGATTTCAGGCGTCTACATATCAAATAGCGCGCCTGATAATGTTCTTCCAGTTGCTGTGCCTAGAGCTCTGCAGCTCATCTGCAGCTCGATTTAAGTCAGAAAAACCAATTATATCACCAGAAAAAACAACAGAGTATGAATAGTTATTCGGCTTCTGTGCTGAGAACAGACTGAATCCAAGCGCCTAGATACTTCAGACTAGCGCGTCGGATTATTCCCTCCCGCTTTCTGTGCCAGAGAGCTCTGAAGCTCAGACGCAGCTCGAGCTCGGTCAAGGAACTCAGACCTCTAGATGCTTCAGACG